GTCAAACACTCAAGCAGACTACATGCAGTATCACATGTGAAAGGCAGATTCATTCATTGTCCCGTCTTATCAAGCATGCTGCTTGCAGGATCACATGTGAAAAGCAGATTCCTTCATTGTCCCGTCTCATCAAGTCCTGATGCTTGCAGGATCACATGTGAAAAGCATATTCCTTCATTGTCCCGTCTCATCAAGCAGGCTGCATGTTATTGATTGCATATTAAGGCTCTATGTTTCACATGTGAAAAGCAGATTCCTGCATTGTCCCGTCTCATCAAGTTCTGATGCATGTCATCGTTTATCAAGCATGTTGCACGTAGATTTAATTGAAATACATGTTAAAAATATTTAAACTCTTTAAACAATCAAACACTCAGACTATTTAATAAAGTCTTTAAACTCTTTAAACTCAAACACTCAAGCAATCAAACCCTCAAACACTAAAACCCTTAAACCATCAAACACTCAAACACTCAAACACTCAATCACTCAAACACTCAAACACAATTTTCGCTATGTCTCAAACACCACAATATATGATTTCGGCACATCTTAACAGTGAAGTTTTCGAATGTGAAATATCCGGTTACAATTTCAGAAACACTGAAGTTACAAGATCTTTGACCGCACAACTGGTTGGTTCAGTGTTTTTGAGTCTATGGATCACAACGAAGGAAGGCCTAGGGGATGTTACCGTGTTGAATTGGATAAGAACTGGTGTGATTGTGGAAAGTTTCAAGCATTTCGTATGCCGTGCTCTCATGTCATAGCAGCATGTTCGAAGTTGCGCCAGGACCCAACCAACCTTCTTTCTGCAGTTCACAAAGTCATTAGTCTATGCAATGTCTACACATGCAGCTTTCAAGTGGTGGCAAAGGAGGACTATTGGCCTCAATACGAAGGCGAATTGTTTGGCATAATGACTTGATGCGCAGACAGAAAAAGGGTCGGCCTAACAGCACGCGCATTCGAACTGAGATGGATACCGCAGACAAGCTGGTGAGATTGTGTAGTTCGTGTCGGCAACCAGGACACAATCGAACAAAATGTCCTAACGTAGGATCAAGCAGCAGAGCATAGTTTCATATGTAATCTTGTCTCGTTAAATCAATATCAAATTTCATTCGATTAATAACAACTTTTATTCCATTAATAGAAAATTTCATTCGAATAATACCAAGTCTCAATCAATTAAAAGCATAGTTAACTGACATAACAACAACATGAAAACAAAACACTGCATGAAGGCAACATAAATTAAACAAACATAACAACACCGTAAAGACTTAAAACATAACATTGCACCAAGGCGTCTACGATATCACGACCATCAACTTTATCTTCTTTGGTGTCAACATCATCACAAGGACACTGGCATCATTTTCCACTTTTCTCCATTCACGAGTCGATCCGTTTCTCCCGGTCTCCTCCATCAGCCTCTCGATTTTCCTAATCTTTTCTCCTTGAGCAATATCTCCTTCTAGCCAGCGGTTCAGTTCCCTATGCAAGTGCTCCAACGTCTGCGTATTCCACAGGAGCACCTTCATCGGAGCTTTGTTGCTGAAAAGACAACTAGGACATTTCTTTTCATTAGATCGAACGTTGGAAAGGGTTCCTCCGATGTTGATGACGACGACGACGAAGAACGTTGATTTAGAAATGCAGACATTCTAGACTCTACTCCACTCAAAATGCACTAACGTGGTCTTTTGGTATACAATATTGTGAAAACATATATGTGTTTGCAGTCGTATTTATAGAAAAATAAAATAGTGTGTGCCCCATATGATATGTCTTAAATACCCTTACAAAATTTATACACTTTATAATTCAATGGTTACTCAATTTTTATGTTTTAAAATTTATAATTTAAATCAACTTATATGCTTTAAAATTAAATTGTTATTCAATTTTTATTTTGTATTTAAATTAAAATTTTAAAATATTTTATAATTTAAAAACAATAATTATTACTTATTTCATAAATATTACTTAAAAATATTACTTAAATTTATTAAACCTTATTTTTTATAGTTACTTAGATTTATTAAAAATTATATTTTAAATAATTATTTAAATTTATTAAAAACTATATTTTAAATAATAAAAATATAATTATTTGATAATAATATAAATTAAACCATTAACTAAAAATAAAAAATCTGAAAAACAAAACCCTAAAACTAATTCGCTAATTGGTCTGACGACTTTGTTTCTTTCCAAAGCAACTAAATCGCCATTTCAAATGACGACTACCGTCCGTTGAAAATTTGTCATTTTCGTCAATTTTTTAAAATTTTTATTTTTTTTATAAATTGGAATCAATACTTAATTATTTTTTAAAAAAAAATCACTTAATTCACGTGAATCAATATCCTAAAATTATAAACAATTTTTTTAATGAGATAGGGCCTAATGCTACAAGTCTACAATAATCTAATTCCTTAAATCTAAGCCACTGCTTGTCAATTCAATTGCCGTGTTGTTGAACTTTGAACTTCATTATATTATCTTAAATCTTAATGTTATCTTATATACGGTTTACTATTTTTTTTCTTTCTTTTTTTTAAACACCTTATTACACTTTTATAAATTTTTTACTCTATCTGTTCTATTTTACTCATTATTTGTGTAAAATAAAATTATTTTTATATTTTATTATTATTTTTATTATAATACCCTTGAATATTTATCTAAAGAAAAAAACATATAAAATTTGACGATAAAGAGATAAGTATATTATAGATAAAAGATAAATTAGTATATAAAAACTAATATAATTTATTAAGTATTTAATTGATGTTGAGATTTCGAGGCAAAATTTGTGTGTCGAATAATCTTTAATTGAGAAAAATGATCATAGCAGAGAGTCATAGGAGTAACTTGAGTATTTATCTAGAAGTTACGAAGATGTATCAGGATCTTAAAAAATTGTTTTGGTGGTCAGATATGAAGAAAGACATAGCTTGATTTATGTATGCTTGTTTGACTTGCGAGAAGTCAAAAGTGAAACATCAGAAATTTTCTGATTTGATGTAACCAATGGAAATACCAGAGTGTAACTGAGATAGTATCGCGATGAATTTAAACTTCATTATATTATCTTAAATTTTAATGTTATGTTATATACGGTTTACTATTTTTTTTCTTTTTTTTAAACACCTTATTTACACTTTTATAAATTTTTACTCTATCTGTTCTATTTTACTCATTATTTTTGTAAATTAATTTTTTTTTATTATAATACCCTTGAATATTTATCTAAAAAAAACATATAAAATTTGATGATAAGAGATAAGTATATTATAGATAAAAAAAATAAATTAGTATATAAAAACTAATATAATTTATTAAGTATTTTATTAATGTTGAATGAAATAACTGTTTTATTTTTTTGAAATTTATATAGTAAAAAATTGTAATATTATTGGAAAATTACTATTTATAATAATAATAAATTTTGACTACCTCTACATTTAGACATTATATTAATTTCCTGATTTACAATTTTTAAATAATTATTTTTTATTTTCATTTTTACTTTTCGTCAAAAAAGTATTTTTTATTTAATTGAATATTAAATTTAATTAATTTTTGTTATAACTTTAATGATTCTAAAAAAAAGGCTTTATAGATGCCATGTTATCAAATTGATAAGGATGATTGTGAGATCTTTCTTTAAACTTTAAAGTATAATAAATACTGTAGATTTGTTGACAATTAATACTATACTAAAAGTCTATCTTTGAAAAAAAAAGTGAACTCGCTTTTATTTTTATATAATATTTATTATGATTAAAAATCTTCCTAAGATGATGAAAATAAAAATAAGAAGAAAAAATATATATTGTGTGATAAACAGGATATTTTTCAGAACATTAATCTTTTATATAAAAAATGAACTAAACTATGGATATTATAAATATAAACCTTGAGAAGCAATTGGCAATCCTAAAATTGAAAACAACTTAATTTACTTATTCATCAGCAGGTCGCCATTCAGATTGACGAATGAGACTATTTGAAATTTTGGAGAAAGAGAATTCGCCAAGTGAAATGGCGAATGAGGTCATTTAGAATTTATTAAAAACTAATCAAACTATATACTTTAGAGAAAATTCCAAATGACCTCATTCGCCATTTCACCTAGCGAATTTCCTTTCTCCAAAATTTAAAATGGTCTCTTTCGCCAATTTGAATGGCAACCCGCAGGTAGCCATTTTAGAAATTTTTTTGAATTAATGATTATTTTGATAATTTCTTTTCAATATATGATTATTATAAAAAAAAATTTCAAATTTTGGCTACCTCTAAATTTAAACATTATATTATTTCTTGATTTACAATTTTTACTATAATTGTTTTTTTCTTTTCATTTTTACTTTTCGTTGAAAAGTATTTTTTATTTAATTGAATGTTAAGTTTAATTAATTTTTGTTAGAACTTTAATGATTCTAAAAAAAGGCTCTATAGATGCCATGTTATCAATTTGATAAGGATGATTGTAAGATCTTTCTTTAAACTTTAAACTATTATAAACACTGTATATTTGTTGACAATTAATACTATACTAAAAGTCTATCTTTGAAAAAAAAACTGAAATAATTTTTATGTTTGTATAATATTTATTATGATTAAACATGTTGGTCGACATTTTTATAATTTTTTAAAAAAATGATACTCTTAAAAAAAATTTATTCACACTTTTGATAGTTAATATTAAAATTATTAAATAATAATTTTTTATTCAAATCGTGGTTAATTTTATCTTAAATTATAAAAACTGATAAAACTTTTTAAGATAAAGTAAGCAAACTTTTCACTCCTCAATGAACCAATATAAGATTTGACCAATGAAACAAGGCTGACGTGTGAAGCATATCCACCATTCAAGATAAAGTAATCAAACTTTTCATTCTAACTTATTTCTTAGCCAAAGAAATATCGTCCCTCCTATACTATAAAGTAAGGCATAGCCAGGAAAGTAATCAGAATTAAAAATGGCAGCATTTTATTTCAACGTGTTTATGTTATTCTCTCTTTTAACCATCACCATTGTTACTCCTCTTAATGCTTTTAAACCTCTTGGTCTTCATCAAGTTTCTGATTTCAATAGGAGCAGTTTTCCCAAAGGCTTTGTTTTTGGAACAGCCTCTTCTGCATATCAGGCACTAACTCTATTTCTTTCATTTTCTTATGTTATTTGTTTTTTATTACTGATATTGTTATCTATGTAATGTTTCTTGTAGAAGCGTAATTATTAACTTATCAACTTTATGTTATATGATTTTTTTTAGTATGAAGGTGCAGCATTTGAAGGTGGAAAAGGACCTAGTATTTGGGATAACTTCACTCATAAATATCCAGGTTTTTTTCATGTTTGAAAATATGAATCTATCATCTACTTTATTCTGTCAAAAAAAAAAACATTATGTGTACGTATCAGCTTTTTTTTTTCATTTATCATTTTAAACCTTTTGATGAAAACTTGTTCATCAACTTACAACTATTTCTTCTCATTCTCCATACTAAAAAAACAACAAAAAAATTCCTCTCACAAATTGTTGTTTGGATGTAAATAATAAGAGAAAGCAAAAATGGAATCAATTGAATATCACAATTGACGATGGTTGTGTTTGCACGACAACAGTAGAATGGTTCTACTTAGCTGTTCGGTAATAGTGATCATTCACCAAGACAAATCTTAAAACAGAGTAATTGCTAACAATTAGTGAAAATATATTATATTTTCATTCTTGTTAGCAGCAAGCATGAAGAAATCATATAGAAAGTGAAACATTTCTCTCTCTTCTAAGTTTCACTTTCTCTTTTATTTATCAACCATTGGATTAATTCAATAGTTCAGATTCACACAAGAGAGAGCATGAGAGAAAAATGAGGAGAGAATCCAATTTTCAATTATTAAGATATCTTAAAATTAGTGGTATGATATAGAATGAATAGGGGTCATTTTTTATTACATAACAATATAGTGTAACACTAGGTTTATTGAACTTAATAATATACTATATTAATTTTATTTTTGATAGAGTATATTATATTAAATTAATTTTCATTGGTTTTTTAATATTTTTAATATTGTATTTTAATTCAATTACCTGTATCATATATTTCAAACATAATCAATAAGTTTTATTCTCTTAATATTAATTTTAGAGTTTAATTGATATGTACGACTGTGTAAAATAATTTTACACTATTATTCAATAGGAATTCATTAATATGTCATGTCATACTAATAACTTAAATTTTACAGTGTGACGTGGCGAGATACATGATGGTGATTGGTTGATAGTGTAAAATAATTATTTTACACTGTCAGTGCATATATATATATATATATATATATATATATATATATATATATATATATATATATATATATATATATATATATATATATATATATATATATATATATATATATATATATATATATATATATATATATATATATATATATATATATATATTTAATTTATAACATATTATATGTTATATTTTATATTAAATATTCATATTTTAATATATCTTTGTTATACTAATAAAAAATAATTTTAATTTAAATATACAAACATAGATTCCTTAAATGGATTTTTGTATTGAATGAGATTTTTAAACAAATTTTAATCCATTTGGAATTCGACTGAATACCCGAACTTTTAAGCATAACTAATTAAAGTTTTATAATTTATTTATAAAAAAAAAAACATGACATAAAATAGCTAAATAATAGATACTGATCTGACCTGATCAGGAGGGATCACGGACTGGCCACGCTTCGCCGGACGGTTATCTGTTTGCCGAGGTAAGAACGAGGAGGGGGTGTACCTGCAAAGCACTCCGACGCCCAAGTAAGAAGTTGGACAGAGAGGAAGCAATAGTACAGAAAAGGGGGCAAGAAGAGTTACCTGACCCTCTTGGAGAAGAGGGTATTTATAGAGAGACCCCAGCGCTGGGCCAACGGTCATTCGAGGTGGGCCAGACGACCAGGCCCAACCCTAATGACTGCTAGGGCTTACGTGGCGTAGTGAAGACCGGGACGTGGTCTTCGCCCTAGTTCAACCGCTCCTAGGTCTCCGGAAAGTGGGTTTGACCTGCTCTTTCGGAGGTGGGCGGTTGGCCGATGACGTGTCCCCGCGGAGGGGAGCACGTGGAGAACGTGCGCCGAGCACGTTATTCTCCCGCGGAGGGAGCCCGGGTAGTCTCGCTCGTCTGGTGTGACGGACGACGAAGGGGATGCGGCGTGATGGCTTGTGCCCGGCGGACGGTCCTGCTCGTCCGAAGGGGCGTGTGCCAGGCCTGCTCAGTTCGCCTGTTGGGCCGTATTTGGTATTGGGCCTGCCGAGGTGAGGCCCACACCGGAACAGGAGCCCCCCAAGTCGAAGCTCTGGGGAAGGGCGAGGACTTAAGGTCGTCATGTCTGGAGCGGGGGACTCGTGCGAAGGGCTCCGGTCGTCGGTAGAACGGGGAGGAGGCAGATGGAGAGACGCGACTGTCAGGCTGCTTCCACGTGTCTTGCGTTGAGCGGTCGTAGGGGCGGCTAACCTATGTCATTAATGAGCCTAGGGTCGCTTCGAGCCTCGCGCCGGGTTATAAATATGACGGTCCCCGCTCATTCTGCTACTTTTCTCCCTGTTGATCTTTCATCGTCTCTGCCCGTCCGCCGTTCGCCGCCGATCAACGCCGTGCCATTCGCTTTTTCTTCCGTCCGCCGCCGTTACAAGTAAGTTCCTCTTCTCCCTCTCTTTTATTTTCGTCGTCTAACTGGGACGTGTGGTCGGGGCGCGATGAGCGCCCCGAGGAGGGATGCGAGTTCCGCCGCGTCTGGCGAGTTTTCCGATGAATGTCCCGGGGACGGTAGGCTAGTTCCGATGAATGCCCCGGGGACAGGAGCTTTTCTCCGATGAATGCCCCGAGGACGGGGGCTTTTTCTGATGAATGCCCCGAGGACGGGGGCTTTTCTCCGATGAATGCCCCGAGGACGGGGGCTTTTTCTGATGACTGCCCCGGGGAGAAGTATCTTCTCCGAAGGCCGCCCCGAAGGGCTGAGGGGTCGTTCTTCGATCCCCGAGGAGGGTAGGCGGGGAGCGAATGTCTGCTCGCCGCCCCTCGGCCTTTGTCGCCCTTTCACTTGACTTGCGGTGGAAGGGTGGATTTGATCCTGGCTATCGAATTCACCGAGGTCCTCTGCTTTCAGGTGTAGATGTCGGCTCTGGTGCCGGGGATAATGGTTGAAGATGATGAACCCGAGGTCCCGGAGTATGACGACGGGCGCGTCTCCTTGCCCGAGGAGTGGGCGGCCGAGGAGCCACTTACCATCCCCTCTTGTTTTGTGGTCGACCCGTCCGACGTGTATGCTACGGTCGAGGACACGCCGCTAGGAGAAACGCAACACTGGCAGGTGTATCGCCCGAAAGCGCACCATCGGATCTGTTCGCGCTATGGGCGGAAGATGTTCCCGATGTATGAATTTTATTTTAAAGAAGCTCGGCTCCGGTTGCCGTTCTCTGCCTTCCATCTGGGGATTTTTGACTGGCTGCGTCTTGCCCCGTCTCAGCTGCACCCGAACGCTCTGGCTTTCATCCGGGCTTTCGAGGTGGTGTGTTTCTACCTCTCGGTGGAGCCGACGGTGCCGTTGTTCTTTCGCATCTTTCATTTGCAGCGGCAGACGGTGCGAGGTCGTCACGGATGGGTCTCTTTCAAACAATCGACCAAAATTTTTAAAGCGTACAGTGATTCTGTCAAAGACTTCAAGGGTCGGTTCTACCTCGTCAAGCCGATCACGCAGCACGGCTCGGACACTCTCTTTGACGAGGGCGAGCGCACGGTAGATGGCCAGTGGTTCCGAGCGTGGCTTCCCAAGATACATCTGCTGTGGACCTCGGAGCATTTCAGTCGAGGGACGGATAGGTATATCGTCCGGGCGGGAACCCTCGAGGAGAAGGACATGGCCGCTTATCTGAAAATAATTGCCTTTGTGCGGTCACTTCCCCCGTCGAAGCTGGTGACGCCCGACGGTCGGTACATCCTCGATGCCCAGGGGAACGTACGCACTAAAAAGCGTTTGATAAATACTAAGACTTTGCTCGGCTGTGCGACCGGGGCGGCCGCTCTAGATTATCTAGGTAGGGATGTTTCGTTTTCCCTCGTTGTCGGGGTTTTTGATCGTCGCTAACCTATTTCTTTGTTTTTGCAGCGAACATGTCTACTGTCGACGAGCGGGTGAAGCAGTTGCGTGCTGCCAGGAGTGCCGGGGTCCCGAGGACGAGGGTGAGTCAGCTGGTCAGTCAGGAGGTCGCGACGCAGGGGGGCCAAACTTCGTCCTCGTCGCCTCAAGAGAGCCAATCCCCTGTGTCCCAAGGAGTGTCGAAGAGGCAGAGGTCCGAGGAGCCTCGGGTGGTGGATCTGACGGTCGGCGCCGTCGAGGAAGGTTATGTCGTCCCTCCCTGCCACCAGCACCCGGGGTATTTTCATGGTGCCCGTTCCCCCATCGTTTCCGCCGGGGAGGTGAAGGCTGTTCGCCAGGCTGATCGGGAGGCCCGTCGGCGTGTCCTGGCTGAGGACTTGGCCGCGATGATGCGGACGTTTACGACGGCTCTCGTGCTGAACGAGGAGGGCTGCTCTGCTGCTGAGTTGTCCAAACTGCAAGGGGATCTCACCTTTACGCAGTCGCGGTTGGCCAAGCTCACTGAGGAGTTGGAGAAGAGCCAGAAGGACGTTGCCGAGGAGCGGAAACGAGCAGAGGGTGCTGAGGGGAAGGTGAGTTCGCTGGAAGAGAAGCTGGGGACGGCGACGGCCGAGGTGCAGGCGCTGAAGGTTCGTACTGAGGTTCTGGACAGCGCTGTTCGTCCGGCCGAGGACGAGACTGAGGGGGATCGGCGTTTAATCACCCGTGCTGACTTGATCGCCCGTATCCGGGTGTTGGAGAGCGATTGTCTGGAAGCCGTTGAGGTCGGGTTCAAGAATGCGGTCGAGCAGATTCAGGTCGCCAACCCTGGTGTCGAGCTGGTCGTGGACGGGATAGGGCCGTACCACGAGATCGTTGATGGGAGGGTGATCGATCCTTATTTCGTTATCCCCGACGAGGAAACCGTGGCTGCTGACCGAGCTGATGAGGAAGTGTAGGTTGCCGGGCCTGCGTGCTCGTTGTTTTGTGGCCTGCGTGCCGGTGTTTATCTTTTGCTTTGGGCCTGCGTGCTCGTTTTTGTACTATTGACTACTGGGCTGGTGCCCGCTTTTGTTAAATATATTTACCATGGATTTTCTAAGTGTGCGCTCGTTGTTTGCATGTTGTTTTATGCTTGTTTTTCGTATTTGTTCGAATGCCTTTGATGTGTATGACA